GACACCTTGCAGAGCTATAAAATAATAATCTATGTTCCCAACTCTGAGACCAAACAAATCCTCTTTAGTAGACAATATATACGGTTCACTGTATAAGATGAGGCTGTAGATACTGCTTCTATCAAACAGGTGGTATTTTTAAAGGGTATATCCCTTTTAAAAAGGTTTAAAAAGGTTAGAAGCTATTTGTCTAATTCCAGCCCTGCAACTGAATATGGGAGAGTTTGGGGAAAACCTTCTAGTGCCTTACAAAACAAATCAACGTAATTATTTTTAGCTAAGTATATTTTTATAGCTGTTGCCACCAGTATTCCTCCTGCGCTTCCTCCTCTGTCAGAATTCTGTCCTGTGTGTCTCCCCTGGAACATTCCCTGTAATAACTTCATTGCATATTCACCCACTGAATTTCACTTATTGCATTAAGAAGGAGATTATTTTGAGTTTATTGCTTCTTTTCCCTGTGTTTTTGTTCATAAAATGGTGGAATCGTCACTTAATTTTCTGTTTCCTTTAAACAACACATGCCTTTTACTCTGGATTGTAATTTGGTCATTAATGTTATGCCAGTAACACATACCCTATGCTTTAGAGGATAATTGTGTGGCAGATTCTGAAGACTTGTCATCATATCTCCTTTCTGTGTCTTCAGTGTTGATGAATATTAGTGTTGCTTATAAATGCAGGGGTTGAATTTGAGCCGGACAGTAGAAGGGTTTTTTTTTCCTCCTCTTTGGGTATATTCTGCCTTCATCAACAAATGTAAATTTCTCCACGTTAATTTTTCTGCACACAAAAAATTTAGTATCCCTGGTGTTACATTTGAACAATTGATGAGTCTAAAGACCTGGAAAGATTTTTCACTGCATTTTAAGTATGAAGATGGGTAAGATTTATTCTTGACTTTCTGGATTTGTGAAAAGTTGCAAGTCTCTATCAGCCTCTGGTATGAAGGGTGAAGTTTATATTTTCAGATTGTGTGGTTGATTTGTGGAGGAAGAAAGGATAATTTTTTAAGGCCATACTATGTAAGAAAATATCTGAGTGGATGTGGCCCTCTCGTAATTGATATAAAACAGATAATGAACACAAACAAGTTGAGTGACTGACTGTGGCAAAGCAGAGGCTTGAAGGCACCAGCATCCACTTGTGGAGGGCAGGGCCTGTGCCTGGAGTTCCTTCTGAGAGAAGCTTTCTAAACTTTGCGTGCGGATTTGATGGGAATAAACTGGTGGCTTGATGGGAGGGGCGGGGGCTGTCCTGCCGTCTCTCCATCTCCCTCCTGTATTGACCAAGGCGTGGAACTTGAAATGATTGACTTAGCAGAAAAACAAACCTGATTTTCTGTTGAATCGGACCTACAGACTCCTGCATTTTTCTTTGGGGTCTGTCTCGCTGTCATGTGAACACATTGATATGGTATTGCTGAATGTCACAATATTGAGTAACAGTGACTACCTGTCTCAGAAACGGTGACTTGAAGCGTCAGAGGCTCTGTGAACTCTTCTGCGTGAACAAGTCCTGATGAAACCTGGTGATGCGAATGTCAGGGGAACCTGAGGCTGGGAATTACATGCTGCGTTCATGGAGCCGTTCTTGACAGATGGATTGAAGGGGGCGGGCCTAGCCATTCTGGACGCCTGGCTCCTTGGTCTCTTGTTTATAGGAAGTATATTAAGGAGAGAAGATGATAAGTTATTAACTTTTTCTCCCTCGCTTCTACCTTCATTCTTTCCAGCTTTTCGTTTTTCGTTTCCTTTGTTTTTTTCCCCCCTTTTAACTCTCATTAACTTATTAGTGAATGACGAATGGCCAGTTTGTGAAACTTAGCCTTTTCTCAAAGCTGCAGGATAACGTTCCAAGATAATTAGCTACGTTTAAAGATCTCCTTTATATGTGACTAACACTGGAAATATCAAATTGTTTATGCCAGTATAATCTTCATTAATGACCAGCAGAACTCGTGATTTCTTTGTTTAAAACACATAATAGTAAAAGTAGAGGCTCACTTCCTGTGGAGACAAGAGGATACTTAAGAACTTTGCTTAATACCACACAGCTAAGATTTATGAAACATTATAGCTGTATTCTCTCACTGCCACCCAGGACTGGTACTGACCCGGATCGGGGTCCTGCTGCAGTTAATGTGACTGTTGTGTTTGCCAGAGCTGCAAGACTGAACTAGAACAAGACTAGATTTCGGGACTTAGAAAAGCCAACTAATGCGCAGGACAACTCTCCTTTATTAGCCAGTCCTTACAAGAGTGTGCGGGGCCTCTATACACCTAAGGGGCACCTCTACTGCAGAGCGCACCTAACCGTAGATGGTTGGTTTTCAAAGTGCAGTGATAGATACTTAAGTGACAGAAGGCATCACTGCTTCCCTTAAACCTTGATTTTTAAAAAACATTCCCAGACATGCACAACTACACTCTTAGTGTCCTTCTAATCTGATGGTGAACACAGCAAGGAGCACAGGGCAGTGCATTTCTGAGCCGCACTCTGAAATACACCAGAGCCTTCTTTCAAAGAAAACTTTACCCAGCTCGTATGATATGACCCGTGTCTAATCTGCACAGCTCTCTCTCTTCTTTCTCCTTTTTTTTTTAATCCTCCCAAGGACTGATATAAGTTTGAAAGTATTTTGATTGCCCCCCCCCCCCCGACATGCCCCCCCGCCCAGTTCCTTGGGCTTTGTTTCAGGCCCTGGGGAGGAACGGTTGTGAATGCGTTGTGACTCAGCGACTCCCACTTTCCCGATTCTGGTTCTGATTGGTCATCACCTTGCTCTAGCCATATGGCTGCAGAGTACTCTAGCCTGCATCCCTTTCTCGTTCTTTCCCCTACTGTTCCCTTCTGTTGTACATGACACTGGGAGTGGGTTCCGGGCTTTGTCTCTTGTTTCTAGTTTCCCCCAATTAGGCAGTAAGTAGGGGAGCACGCTGTATTTCCTAAGGAGGCTGTAGAGGAGAAAACACCCTGTCCTTTTGTGTCTGGTATAGTAATTATTGAGTTTTCTGTGCTGTTTTCGTTCAAAGTTTATTTTTTGGCAGGTGTCACATTTGTGTTGTATTATTTCCTCCTGGCTTCTCTCCTCCCCCTGATTTGAGCTGGGTTTTTTTGTAAAGGTTCTTGGAGTCCCTTTCTCTGGCTACTGATGCTACACTTCAGCTAGATAGGTTTGATTAATGCTGGTGATGTTGGGGGAGGGGACTGAAAGCAACTCTAAATAATATTTGTTCAATGTCTGAATGTTCTGGCAGTCACCAAGCAATAACATCTACATATGATAGTCACGATTATGAGTTCTGCCACCTACCTTCCCCTTCTCCTAAACTGTCAGTTCAATTACTCTGCCTTTTATAGTTGAGAAATAGTATTTTGAAGACTTGAAGGTTAATTTTTATAAGCATTTGATATTTTTATTAATTTGCATTTTTATTATTCTGCAGATGGTTTCTGCAAAGACTTTGGACTCTGCATCCTTTTTTTTTTTTTTAATATTTAACTACTCAAAGAGGTAGTGCTAGGAGAGTTTAGAGTATAGCAGACTTTTTTCTCCAAAAAATTGGCCTTTATATGATATTTTCATTGCCTAAAAAGAATCAACACGAAAAATATGAAAACTTCTCTCAAGAATGTATTTTGTATTGACTCAAAAGTTTTTAAAAATCCATTTTGTAAATATCTTTATGTTCAAATATGTTAAGCAAGTAACCTACAGGTCTAGATCCTTTAGAGAATATGTACAATGAAGTTGGTTAGAATCAAAAGCTGGAATTGGAAAATCAACTTGGCCCTTATGGTTTCACTTAACCCTTTATTTAAAGATCTTCATTCACTTCTTTTTCTCTATTCCTAATCTATCTTAGAAAATAGCACTCTTTTTTTAATCAGAAATAATAAATCTTAGCTAGTGAAAATGTCTGAGAGGAGTGCTGCTTACACTTTCTTCCAGCCGCCGGGGGCAGGAGAGTCAGAACCCACGTCTGACCCCAAATGGTTGTTATATGTTTATTCTCCGAGCATTTGCTGCTCTCTGGTCCATCACTTCACACATCATGTGAAGAGAACAAGGACATTTACTAGGCTCAGAGGATAGTTGTGAACAAAATAAGTCTTTGCCTTCATGGGGCTAACATTCTATTGAAATGTATTGTTACAGTAATGAAGGTATCCAAATACACATTCTTCTCGGATTTGAATAAGGTGTACAAAATTCAAGAAACCTTAATTTTAAATTTTCATCCCGTGTAACTAAATCCCTACTCTGCTTAAACGGATGTATGCGTTTCCACAGATCCTATCCCAGCAAAGAAGTCCTGCTCATGAGTAACACATTTCAGTAATTGAGTGTCTCTTGTTTATATTGCATATTTCTGAGATCAAGCTTTCTTTGTTTAAAAGTCTGTTTAATGTTTGAAACTGAGATAGATACATGATGTTTGTTTGATTAACAAAAATTAGTATGGCTGGTATCTCTGTCATCAGATGCAAAAAGAAAAATGACTAGCAATACGCCAAGCACAGTTCTGAGTACTTTACCTGTAGCAGCTTGTTTGGTACTCGCAGGAACCCTAAGGATATTGTTAATCACGTCATTTTGCAGAACAGGAAATTGAGGCACGGGTAGGCTAAGTAAGTGGACCTGAAGTTTGAATTGAGGCGGTTCGTCTCCAGAGTCGTGTCTTCACTGCCATGCTGTGCTGACCTTCCAGCCTAGCATGCTGCTCTAAAAATAGTCAAGAAATCTGAGCTCTGCTTTGTGATCCTCATTAGCTTTTCTTCTCATCTGTGTGGCTCAGTTTCCCTTTGTATATAAAACGTCTCTTATGCCATTGGTTTCTCCTCATATGTCGAATCTGTAAATTTTAGACGTAGAGAGGTTTTAGGTTAAGCTAGTAACAAAAAAGATGTCAGAGACATATAATTGCTGCATATTTTATACAGCTGACAGAACAATATTCTGACAGATCTTCTTTCTTTTTGTCTTCATTTGGTAGAAAAGAGTAGTTGAACAGCTACGGAAGAACCTGATAGTAAAGCAGGAACAACCAGACAAGTTCCAAATACAGCCGTTGCCACAGTCTGAAAACAAACTACAGACAGCACAGCAGCAGCCACTCCAGCAGCTCCAGCAGCAGCAGCAGTACCACCACCACGCCCAGTCGGCGGCGCCCTCTCCCAGCCTGACCGCTTCCCAGGTAGAAGTGTGGGCGGAGCCCTGCAGGCTCCGTGTTGTGGATTGAGTTGTTGTTGCTCAAGTAGAACTGGGTCCTGGTTCAGACTCGACTAAACTCAGCTAGCACTACATGAAAGCTATTTTGATTAGTTTTGTATACTGTAACTGGGACGAGAATCACTTGAAATTCGTTGGCAGAGGAACTAACATTACCAAGGAACAAACGTTAATGGTGTCCAAAGAAGAGGGGAAAGGTAGTCAGTGGCAAAGAAAAATTGCTTCTCGTATTAGAACAGAATTTAAGTCTTATTTTGAATTTCTGGAAGTATTTATTTGCACTTGTTCTAAAAGTCTGTGTGACTCGACCTCTTCTGGAATTGTTTTTCTGGAATTCTTAGCAATTAGGTGTGGAGATATTTCAGGATCAGTGCCCTTGGAACCAGGTAGAAAGAGGCATTCAGAAGGATGATATATTTCCATTATTCATAGAAACAAAATATCCATTTCTAGGTCCATATTCATGAGAAGATGAATCTGTTCTAATACACTGAAGGAAATCTGAAATGGAAGCTACGTCTGAGTGGAAGCTTAATAACATTCTAACTTGTTGGAGCTGTGCAAATGTTTTTACTAAAAAGGGCATTTAAACTAGTATATATATGTGAGGATAACTAGGCAATCAAGATATACAAGAAGGACATATTTGGGAATGACAGTCAGTTAAGGAAATTGTTCAAGCTTGACCTGCATACACTTAGATGTAATGTGGGCATACCTTTTACAATGGGACAATTGCACGGTGGTTCTTGATCCTTGGGGGTCACAGACCCCTTTAAGACTTTGTTAAAAGCCATGGATCCCCTCCCAGAAGAAATACACATTCACACCTGATACACTCATTTTTGCACATGATTTTTAGGACGTCGGGACCTTCTGAAACCTAAGCATGGACGCCTCTCACCCACCGACACCAAGTTTTCACTATATCTTTACACGTAGAGAAAAAGATGGTAGTTTACCTTGTCACTGTTTATGGCCATTGGGCTGGTTCATATACGACATTCTGCAAGTGAAGAATGCATTACTTATAAAAATAGTAAAGATTATTAAAGATAGTTAACATTTAATAGGGGTTATTAAATACTGTACACTGGCACTCTCCTACGTGCTTTACTTATGTAACGTACACAATCCTCACCCCAAACTGTAATAAGGAAGGTATTATTACTATTATTATCTCTATTTTTTAGGAAAGAAAACTAGGGCCCAGAGAGATTAAGTAATTACCTAAAATCATGTAGGTAGTATGTGGTGGAGCCAAGATTTGAACCCAGATGTTCTGGCTGAAAAATCTATCCATTCACTACTTTTCTATACTGTCATACAACACCAAAGAAAGAAATCCCAACATTATATAAAATACCAAAGAAGGATCCCTGTTGTAAATCAGATAGCTAGAGCAGCCTACAAAATGTCTACCCTAATCTTCACCCCAAGGCTGTTTGGAAATGAGGCATTCAAACTGACGTCTAAAACCCCTGACAGGGACTTATGTTTCTTCTGAAAGATTGCTTATCAGATTACTTTTGTTGGAATTTTAAACAGAGTTGGATTAGGTTGTTCTCTTTCCAAAGTAACAGTTTGATCGAAAGTGTTTACATGGAAGGAGTGTGGTAGAATTTACTGTTTCCTGGTACGTAAGGGTTTTCTCTCTTAACCCATGGAAACTTTCTGGTCAAGTAACATTCCACGTCACACAAATCAGAGAAAATACTTATCTAATACTTAGAATATCTGTGCTGTTTTGGGATGGTGATGGTGAGGGCCTGGGGCTATCCCCAAACAGTGTTGCGTGGCATCTCTCCATCTGTTAGCCCACCTGATATATTTACTTGATTTAGCTAAGCTTGTTTATATTATTTTGCTTTGTTTAATGTTAAAAGCCAAAAGATCCTCTAAGTTTTGGGGTTTTGTTTTTACAGTAAACTGTCAATCGGTGTTTCTTGGGCACTCTCCACGTGCTAGATTCTGGTATACAAAGAGGTAGTAATGGTTCCTGCCGAGAATCGGGTATACTATGATAATTATTTTCATTCATTCTGTAAATATTTATTGAGTCTCTACTATATGTAAGCATTGTGCTAGGCAACGTAGAGGATAGCTTCACAAAAAAGACAGAATTTCTGTCTTCAAGAATTTAAAAATAAAAAATTTAAAGAAGGAGGGAGGGGGGCCGGCCCGGTGGCGCAAGCGGTCAAGTGTGTGCGCTCCGCTGCAGCGGCCCGAGGTTTGCCAGTTCGGATCCCAGGCACGCAGCGACGCACTGCGTGGCAAGCCATGCTGTGGCGGCATCCCATATAAAGAGGAGGAAGATGGGCATGAATGTTAGCCCAGGGCCAGTCTTCCTCCGCAAAAAAAGAGGAGGATTGGCAGATGTTAGCACAGGGCTGATCTCCTCACAAAAAAGAAATAAATAAATAAACAAACAAATAAGGAGAGGAAGATGCAAACAGCTAATAAAGAAGAGTAAAAGGAAAGTACCAGTAAAGAGCTGTGAACATACCAGAGGACAGAATAATTTTGACTAGAGGGATCAGAGAATGCTTCCTAAAGGAGGTGGCATTTGAGCAGGGGCTTGACGGATAGATGAGATTTCAGTGATGGAGCAGAGCACAAAGAGCATCAGAGGTGTACAGAACAGTGTGAACAAAAGCAGGGGGTCAAAAAAGTAAATGCATGCCCTGGAAAGCAAGGAGGCTGAGGTGGCTGGAGTGTGGATTCCAGGGAACGATGGAGAGGGAGATAAAGCTAGAGAGGTAGGAAGAGGCTAGCTTGGGGAAGCCTTCCAAGGCATGACAAAACTGGGGTTTTTGACAGTCATATGGAGTCATTAAAGTTTCATGAGATCAAGGACAAAGGGGAGGTTGTATATGGCGTATATTACATATCTAAGTTCAGAAAAGAATAACTATTAAGTAGCAATCAGCGTGGGCAGGGAGGAGATGCTAGGAAGAGAAAGTTTTTTATTCTAAGTCAGGTGATTAGCATACCAAGGCATGGGGGAGCGGGCGGGGGGACCACTTCCCTTTACTGAGTCAACTCCAGCTCATGCTCGTATGTATATTTTGAAATTTTTCCAATCTACCGGAATAAAAAGAAAGAACAGTTGAATGCAGGTATATCCTTCAACTTACATTTACAACCCTGTCATTTTTAATGTTGTAGTACAAATGTAAAAATGCATGCAGTTAATAAAACCAAACAGAAAATAAGCCCTTATAGAGAAAAAGGGGAGATTCTATTTGTAATTGTTTGAGTGTACAACAATGACTTTCCATTCAAAATTAAATGAAGAAAATAATCTAAAATAATGTGGAAGTTAATTAGACCCCATAGTTAATAATCTCTCTAAGTTCTGATTTGTACATTGGAATCCATCTGTTTTAAATCAATACCTTATGCTTTGCAGGTAAATAACAATAATTTAGCAAGAAAATAAATAAAAAGGATTTTGCTGTCAGTACTTCTTGTCATGTGTTTCTACATTAACTTTTAGTGCATGCAGTTTGGGTTTTGTCAGAATTAAAGAACCCCTTCATAAGATTTAATACCTATCCTTCTCAAACTATTCCAAAAAATAGAGGAAGATGGAACACTTCCTAACACATTCTGTGAGGCCAACATCACCCTGATACCAAAGCCAGACAAAGACAATACTAAGAAGGAAAACTATAGACCAATATCCCTGAAGAACATAGATGCAAAAATCCTCAACAAAATATTGGCAAACCAAATACAGCAAGACATTAAAAAGATCATACACGACGATCAAGTGGGATTTATACCAGGGACACAGGGATGGTTCAACATCCGCAAATCAATCAATGTGATACACCACAGTAACAAAACTAGGATTAAAAACTATATGATCATCTCAATAGATGCAGAGAAGGCATTTGACAAGATCCAACATCCATTTATGATAAAAACTCTCAACAAAATGGGTATGGAAGGAAAGTACCTTAACATAATAAAGGCCATATATGACAAACCCACAGCCAACATCATACTCAATGGGGATAAACTGAAAGCCATCCCTCTGAAAACAGGAACAAGACAAGGGTGCCCACTCTCGCCACTCTTATTCAACACAGTACTGGAGGTTCTGGCCAGAGCAATTAGGCAAGAAAAAGGAATAAAAGGAATACAAATAGGCGATGAAGAAGTGAAACTCTCGCTGTTTGCAGATGACACAATCTTATATATAGAAAACCCTAAAGAATCCATTGGAAAACTATTAGAAATAATCAACAAGTGGCAGGGTACAAAATCAACTTACAGAAATCAGTTGCATTTCTGTATACCAACAACGAACTAACAGAAAGAGAACTCAAGAAGACAATCCCATTTACAATTGCAACAAAAAGAATAAAATATCTAGGAATAAATTTAACCAAGGAAGTGAAAGATCTATACAATGAAAACTGTAAGACATTATTGTGAATCAATGATGACATAAAGAAATGGAAAAATATTCCATGCACTTGGATTGGAAGAATAAACATAGTTAAAATGTCCATACTACCTAAAGCAATCTGCAGATTCAATGCAATCCCAATCAGAATCCCAAGGACATTCTTCACGGAATAGAACAAAGAATACTAAAATTCATATGGGGCAACAAAAGACCCTGAATAGCTAAAGCAATCCTGAGAAAAAAAGAATAAAGCTGGAGGCATCGCAATCCCTGACTTCAAAACATACTACAAAGTGATAGTAATTAAAACAGTATGGTACCGGTAGAAAAACAGACACACAGATCAATGGAACAGAATTGAAAGCCCAGAAATAAAACCTCACATCTATGGGCAGCTAATCTTTGACAAAGGAGCTAAGAATGTACAATGGAGAAAGGAAAGTCTCTTCAATAAATGGTGTTGGGAAAACTGGACAGCCACTTGCAAAAGAATGAAAGTAGACCATCTTCTTTTGCCATACACAAAAATTAACTCAAAATGGATCAAAGACCTGAAGGTGAGATCTGAAACTATAAAACTCCTGGAGGAAAATATGGGTAGTACACTATTTGTCATTGGCCATAAAGGAATGTTTTCGAATTCCATGTCTACTCAGACAAGGGAAACAAAAGAAAAAATAAACAAGTGGGACTTCGTCAGATTAAAGAGCTTCTACAAGGCAAATGAAACCAGGATCAAAATGGACAGGCAACCCACCAGCTGGGAAAAAATATTTGCAAACCATATATCTGACAAGGGATTAATCTCCATAATATATAAAGAACTCATGCAACTGAACAACAAAAAAACAAACAACCTGATAAAAAAAATGGGCAGAGGAAATGAACAGACGCTTCTCTAAAGAAGATATACAGATGGCCAATAGGCACATGAAAAGATGCTCAACATCACTAATCATCAGGGAAATGCAAATCAAAACCACACTAAGATATCACCTTACACCCATTAGAATGGCTATAATCACCAAGACAAAAAACAACAAATGCTGGAGAGGCTGTGGAGAAATGGGAACCCTAATCCACTGCTGGTGGGAATGCAAACTGGCACAGCCTCTGTGGAAAACAGTATGGAGATTCCTCAAAAAATTAAAAATAGAAATACCTTATGATCCAGCTACCCCACTAGTGGGTATCTACCCAGTGAACCTGAAATCAGCAATCCAAAGGGGCTTATGCACCCCTGTGTTCATTGCAGCTTTATTCACTAGAGCCAAGACATGGAAGAAACGCAAGTGTCCCTCGACTGATGACTGGATCAAGAAGATGTGGTATATATATACCATGGAATACTACTCAGCCATAAAAAAGACAAAATCGTCCCATTTGCAACAACATGGATGGACCTGGAGGGTATTATGTTAAGCGAAATAAGCCAGAAAGAGAAAGACAAACGTGCATGATCTCACTCACATGTGGAAGATAAAGCAACACACGGACAGAACTGTTTGGTGGTTCCCAGGGGCAAGCGGGGTGGGGGTGGGCACAAGGGTGGGGGGATGCATCTGTATGGTGACTGACCAACAATGATGTACAACAAAAATTTCACAATTAAAAAAGAAAGAACTCCTTCATGAAGCTGTGGGGAAACTGCTGTCTTCTCTTGAAGGTGGTCATACTTGGACAGCGTCAGCCGGCCAAGGACTAATCACAGCTTCCATAAAAATAATTTTCTTGGGGCCGGCCCCGTGGTGTAGTGGCTAAGTCTGGCGTGCTCCGCTTCGGCGGTCCCAGTTCACAGGTTTGGATCTCGGGCGTGAACCTACACCACTCGTCAGCCACACTGTGGTGGCGACCCACACACAAAATAGAGGAGGACTGGCACAGATGTTAGTTCAGGGCTAATCTTCCTTAAGCAAAAAAATAATAATTTTCTTTGTTGTTGGTCACCTTTCCACTCTGTCTTCTCCTCCTCCTGCCAGAACAGTTCAGAGGTTTACATTAGGTTTGGACTTCAAAATTCTAGATTCTCTTTGTCATCTAGATCTAACACTCTGAGAGTTTGGTTTATGTTCCCTAGTATTAGAATAGAATAGAATAAGTAGCGAACCAGGAGTAAAGGTCTAATCAAGACCTATGTCCATACCTGGGGTCAATACATAGTAAATATATTCTTCAAACAGTTTTCATGAGGCATGTAGTACCAGGGCTTGTGCCTGTGTATACAAAGAGAGTTATGTAAATGCTAGAATACATGGAGTGAATTAGCCACTAAATATTTATAAAGCATAAAAATGCTCACCTAAGATGTGAACAAACTTGTTAGGTTTCAGTGTTTTTTAAGTGTTGCAGTTAATGAATGGTAAGTATATAATTCAGGTGAGTTTGAGGTTGTACTCACTTGTTTAGAATAATCACTTTAGGTTTATTCAAAATACTGATAGTGGTTTACCTGAACCAAGAATGTTTCTAACAAAAGCAGATTGATCTCTTTCAAAGCAGTAACAACTGTACAGTTGTTTTTAAAATCCATGTCAGTGAGTTCTGCTGATGAGACCATCACTTCCATAACCCGTGGTGGCACCAGGATTGAATGCAATCTGCTATGACTTGCTCACCACTTCAAAAGTTCTTCGTATTTATATGTTTTATGGAGGAAGACGATCATGGATGTTAGCCCAGGGCCAGTCTTCCTCAGCAAAAAAAGAGGAGGATTAGCAGATGTTAGCACAGGGCTGATCTTCCACACACACACACACACACACACACACAAAAACAAAACAAAACAAAACAAAAAATGTTTTAAACTGAAAGATAGAGCTAATATCATATTGGGTTAAAAACACTTATTACAAATAGCTGGTGAAGTCAGTCCTTGCTGCTACACCACTGTAACATTTCTAATGATAAATAGCATTTAGCTTTTATTTGGTTTTCATCACTGATAGACATTAGATGACCTTCTACCCCCCAAAATAAGTAAGTATCTATGTTCCTCTTTTACTCCCATTTCACATTTGAGGAGGCAATGGCCAGGAGGATAAGCCACTCCTGTGTTGTTGACTTAGAGAAGAGGAAACGAAAATTTGGGTGATTTTAATTACAAACATTAATAAGGATTGCTGATTAGGCTATGATGGGATAGATGAGGCCACATCATTAAATTTTTTGGTTAAAAGAAAGAAAAAGAAGATATGAAAAGATTAGATAATACATGCATGTGTGTGTTTAAGGCAGAAAATGGAAATAAAGAATTACCTAGAGCAAAACAACTTAATACACAAGTACTTGCATAGATGCTGAAACAGAAATTCACAAGAGAATTTGTCCAGATCTGTTTTAGGGAGAGTGAGGTCCTGTTCATTGGTCCAGGGCAATGCTGTCCAAAAGAACTTTCTGCAGTGTTGGAAATCTCCACTGTCCAGTGTGGTAGCCACTTACCACGTGTGGCTGTTGAACACTTGAAATGTAGCTAGTGTGGCTGAGGAACTGATGTTTTAATTAATTTAAATTTACATAGCCACACATGGTTAGTAACTGCCAAATTGGACAGTGCAAGTACAGAGTAAGAAGAAAAAGGTGCCGGAGTATCCAAGTTGGAACCAGCAAGTTGGACCAGATCAATTTTCATGTTCGTGAAACATCTGTATCTTGAGTGACCGGTAGCACTAGATAGATGTGTATGCCATGTTAGAAGGTGGTTTATGTTTTCGTGTTTTGTAACTGGCTCCTTTAATTACTCTAGTAAAAGTCTAGAAAAATACAGCTTCAAAGCTGCAATAGCGCCTATGGAGCGTCAGTCAAGTCCTCTCGCCTCAATTCATCCTCTGATCTGTGAGGCTTTTTCAGACTCAGGTGTTTGTTTCCACCTAGTCATGTTTCACTGGATCTTTGATCACTTTCTGCAGTTCTCCAGAGAAAAGTTTATAGGTAGTGACTCATATCCCTTTGGTACCAAGAGCTGGTATTTACTATACTAGTTGGTTATCTGGTGTTTGGGATTTACTGCCTCTGAGGCAACAATTGTGCTAATCCTGATGTGAGTGTCCCTTCCTTCTCTCCAGGGTGACACTCAAAAGAATGAAAAGACATTATCTCTTTATCCCAGCCTTTGTGTGACAGGAGGCAGATAACCCGAATTATATGATGGCTTTCTTCATATTGATGAGGTTTTAGCAATTAGGATAGAGGTGGTATGTACCTTATTGATTTACAACTTATACAGAGTTTGAGTTAATTGAGAGCAAGCAAAGAATTAGAAAAACCAGAAGAAATAGGTACACTCGTATTCTGTATCTTTTAACTCACTCCATTCATTGTTGAAAACCCTGTGCCCATGTTAGTCTGCAGTTATTACTATGAACTTGAAGCTAGACTTGAGAACTCTGGCAAACTGGAGATTTTCTTTCCCTGTAGTAAGAAGTGTGCTCTACGTACACAAAAGAAATGTTATACCAAGAAACTTGATTGATTATGAGAATTATTGCTTTGTTTTCTTCTGGGGGTTAATAGCATATTGTTTAGTGGGATGACACTTCAGTGGCCTAATATCTGTTCTCCATGTCTCCTAGAAGACTGTAACTACAGCTTCTATGATTACCACAAAGACACTACCTCTCGTCTTGAAAGCAGCAACTGCGACCATGCCTGCCTCTGTTGTGGGCCAGAGACCTACCATTGCTATGGTGACCGCCATCAACAGTCAGAAGGCTGTGCTCAGCACTGATGTGCAGAACACACCAGTCAACCTCCAGACGTCTAGTAAGGTCACTGGGCCTGGGGCAGAGGCTGTCCAAATTGTGGCAAAAAACACAGTCACTCTGGTAAGCCAGCAGCTGCTACTCATGTGTGCCCACATGAGAGGGTTCAGGATATGCATTTGTAGAGTATATCCGTTTTATGCTCCTGCTGGATTTCTGAGTCGCCGTCACTCTTCCACCATACCTGATTCCCCTTTGGGGCTGACAAGGGAATATGGCATTCCTGCTGTCTGCTCGGATAACTATAGAAGTATCCTGACACCAAGGACCAACACTCGTTCAGTGCATTATCTGAGGTCAAAGTTATGACTTGGCTTGAGGGGGAAATACACTGTTTCATTTCTCTCTCCCTACTTCCTACTCACAGTCCTTCCTGTGAAACTTGAGTGCTTAAACCCTTTGGTGCTGTGTTTCCAACTTGGGGAAAACTCCTGCTGAATTCTTTTAGTTCACTATACCTTGAAATTGACTGCACCCAGGAGGTACTGGAGTTAGTTGGGGCACTTTAAAAATATTCAAGAAACTCACAGATTAACAGTGTTCGTGTCAAAGGTCTATCAGAAAAAAAGTCCCCTGAAGGAAGAAGTACTTGAACAAAAATTGTTTATGAGATTTCTGGGGTAAAACTAGAAACTGATGTCTCAGAAGCTTGGGGAAAATATATCCAAATTGTGGTTTAAAAGTCTGTTCTTAGGGGCCGGCCCCGTGGCTTAGCGGTTAAGTGTGCGTGCTCCGCTACTGGCGGCCCGGGTTCGGATCCCAGGCGCGCACTGACGCACCACTTGTAGGGCCATGCTGAGGCGGCGTCCCACATACAGTAACTAGAGGATGTGCAACTGTAACATACAACTATCTACTGGGGCTTTGGGGGCAAAAAAGGAGGATGATTGGCAATAGATGTTAGCTCAGGGCCAGTCTTCCTCAGCAAAAAGAGGAGGATTGACAGGGATGTTAGGGCTGATGGATGTTAGGGCTGATCTTCCTCAAAAAAAAAGTAAATAAAATAAAAAAGTCTGTTCTTAGAATGGCAGCTAAGAGCTCTTGTTGGCTTTGGAATGATGGCCAGTGAAACTAGAGAGCAATAAAGTGAAGCTTCCCACTCACCCAGGACTCTCTAGAGAAGCAACCAGATCACTCAGCCAGATGCTGAGTTAGAAAATTCTCTATAGGAATAAGGACATTCACCATTAGATAAAGCTCTTATATTAGGAAAAAGCCGATTTGGCCAGGCAGCAAGTTTGATTTTATTTTGGATCCAGTCATGACTTTTAAAATACGTAAGTGCAAGAGTTCTTGAGTGGCAAAGGAAATTGTCTAAGAATCCTGGGCCTGCTATGTTCTACGTTAGGCGTGTAAGGAACCAGAAACGTGGTGGGTTCACTCCATGGGGTAGAGCATGCAGGTGGGAGAGTAAAGAAGTGTCTTAAGGCAGTGTTAACTCAGATGGTAGATTCTACAGTGAAAGCTTCTAGGAAATATTGTCTGATCCAGAGAGTAGTGATGTTGAAGTTACTTTAATAGTGCCTAGCTTTGATATTGAACAGTTCTTGTCCTCTGGTTTATTTATCTTTCCCATTTTTTAGCAGGTTCAGGCAACACCTCCTCAGCCCATCAAAGTACCACAGTTTATCCCCCCTCCTAGACTCACTCCACGTCCAAATTTTCTTCCACAGGTGAGTAAACCAATGACAAACCCAACGATGGGTTAGGTGGGACAGAAGTCCTCATGGGCCCTTTCTGAGCAGCCTGTAATATGTTTGTCAGCTCAGCTGTATTTAGACCCCACCTAGCTAAAGATTCTGGCTGCTGATTTCTATACCATAAAGAAGCTTATTTTGTCATCAAGGTTTCTTAGCAGTGACCAAAGGCAGTAACAAGGGGCTATGAGGAAAAGGAAAATTTCCTAAATTTAAAATAATTAAGATAACACCATTTTAAAACTTTATGTTAACTTACTGGAATAATTTAGCTAAAACCTGCCTGCCAGTGGGGAAGGAATGCAATTACCACTTTTTATTTTTTTTTCTATATGCCAAAGAGAGTGGGGAAGGAAACAACAGCCAAACTATCCAGTAAAAATTGTTCGGTTCTGCTCTGGAAAGTGATGGCACTGAGCATCATACCAAAACACAAAGACTTGCCTACAAAGATTTAGACTAGGGGTCTACACAGGGAGCGTTCTGCCTGGACCCAAGCAACTCTGCTTGCCTGTATTTCCCTGAGAGTATTCTTCCAGCACTGGAGCTGAACTTACCATTCTCATGGCAAATGGCAGGGTTGCCCCAGTCTGGACCTCGAGGGGAGTTGACTGGCCTGGTAGAAAGGCTGGGAGTTCCTGTCTGAGGCCCCAGGTTTCAGGCAAAGAGAAAAGAGAAAGGAATTTTGTGGTCAGTGGCCTTAAGTGATTTCCAGATTTCCTGTGGGGAGGGGATGAGCAGTGCTAACATGAGGTAAGATGATTTTAGTCATGTATCAGATAAATCCTTAATAAGTACCCTGGGTATCAAAAAAGGCACTAAGTACTATGGATATGCCAGTTTTCAAGACAGACAGTTCTCTGCCCTCAGAGAGTTTCAGACACATGTGCAGGCAATTACAGTGTCCATTATGGGAAGTACAGGGCAGTCTGAGAACACATGGGAGGGACACCCAACTCATTCTTAAGAGTACAGTCGTCCCTCACTATCTGTGGGGGATTGGTTCCAGGACCACTCTGGATACGGAAATCCACAGATGCTCAAGTCCCTTATATAAAATGGTGTAGTATTTGCATAGAACCTATGCATATCCTCCCATATACTTTAATCTCTAGATTATTTAAATACCTAATACTATGTAAATAGTTGTTATACTGTATCGTTTAGGCAATAATGACAAGAAAAAAGTCTGTATGTGTTCAGTACAGACACAACCATTGTAGGCCTTTTGATCCACAGTTGGTTGAATCCACGAGGGCACAACTCGCGAATACAGAGGGCCGACTGTATTATAGAAAGTTTCCTTGAAGAGCTGACATTCAGTCTGAGACCTAAAATCCTAGTAAAGTTAGCCTGACAAAGTTTTGGGGGAAGAATAAAAATGTCCCAGGCAAAGGGCGGAACATATATCTAAGTCTAGGATGGAGAGATGCGTGTAAGCTTAGGAACCAAAGGAGATTGGGTGTGGCTGAGCACAGTGGGCCGTGTGGCTGACTCAGGCTAGAGTAAGATGTGAGGCTGGAGAAGCCCATTGGGCCAGAGCCTGTGGAACCCTGTAGGCTATATAGGAATGTGGGCCTTATCCCAGAAACAGTGGGGCTCCATTAAAGCATTTTCAAACAAGTACTTGACATGATCAGATTTTTGTTTTAGAAAATTCCCTCTTGCCACTGTGTGGAGAATAGATTGGAAATGGTCAAGACTGTGGGCAGGAAGAACAGTTAGGACATTGTCGACAATAATAATAGGTAGTGTTTAGAGAATCTTACTATGTGCCAGTTACTGTGCTGGGCACTTTATGTGGGTTATCTATTTTAATCCTCACAACAACTCTATGAAAGTAGGTATTATTCTTTTTTAGATAAGGAATCTAAGGCTTAGTCCATGTTTTTGCAACAGTGGGTCGTGACCCATTAGTATGGGGTGAAATCATGCCAACTAATGTGAATTTAGTGGATTGTAACCAGAGTTTTTAAATAAACTGAACATAACAGATTAGGAAATATTAGAGTACATAGCACATAAGTATTGTTTCATGAAGTTTTTGTTTTATAGAGATATAGATACATGTCCATATGTGTATACTGGTTACAATGTGAAATCTATTCCTACCATGTGTCTACAGCACCCACCACAGGGTGGTCTTAAATTCAGCTAAACATTCAGACTTATAAGACTGTCAAGGGCCACACTTGGCACCAGTCTACTTGGAACAATGTGGAACAGAAACCAGAGCTTGCCAGTAAGACAGCATGAGACATCATTCTTCAATGGGAGTCCCTATAGTATCCCATATAGCAGTCTCTACAGCTGTCCAAGGATAGCTCAGGTGCTGGAAAATGAGATCTTTATCAGACAGTGGGAGAGCCACCCTGGCCTAGAAGCCGTATGCCTCACAGGAGCCAGTATATCTTGAAACAATTCCTTGGGCATGGCTTCTAAGATGCCCACAATGGACATGCCCAGTTACAAGAGGTACTCCGTTTGGGAATCCCAAAACATTGGTGTCCCATCAAGTGTTTATCGTTCTCCCCATCCAGATTCGATTTAACAATAAGGGGTCATTTTTACTATAAACCATGTTGCCTGGTAACATAGTTGACATTCTTACCCATATCAAGTTTCCAGAGGAATAGAGCTAGAGAGTTAACTGAAGGTCAGACTCTCGTGCCTAATGGGAAAGGTTGTTGCCTGCAGGGTCACAGTTCAGAATGTTTGAAAAATACTGGCTTAGGAGAGGTCAGGTAAGTTGCCTGAGGTTGTACAGCCAGTAGGTGGTAGAACCGGGATTTGAACCCAGGCAAGGCTGATCCCATGCTTTTAACCACAATTTTCTGCCACTGTTTCAGTAAGCCAAACATAAGCAGAGCAGTGGCAGTGGGGATAGCAAGTAGACATATTTGAGAAGGATTTAGGAAGACGAGGTGGAGTAGGAAGCATCAAGAATGATTCTGAAGTTTATTTAGCAAGAGAAGACCGTTTACTGAGGTGATGATTATAGGAGGAAGAAAGGGTTGGAGGAAGAAATTAATGTTTTAGACATGTTTTTGAACTTCCTATGAGATTTCCAGGTAGAGGTGTCTAGCAGGCGGTTGGATATATGATTGTGAAGTTCAGGAAATGTCTGGTCCTGAGATGCAGGTGTGGAAGTCTTTAGTACAGAGATGGTAACTGAAGTGGGATGAGTGAGAACTCTGGGAGGAGTGAGGGCATTGGGAAGAAAGAGGTTCCAGGACAAAATCCTGAGAAATACTTACATAGAGGATTGTGCAGAGGAAGAGGAAGGAGTTAGAGAACCAGAAATGGGAGTGAACTGAAGCTGTGGATGTGAAGACATTTAGAATGTGAATGAAGGCCATTGGCAGCATTAGTACCATTCTGGGCACAAGTTCTAGGTGGGACCAGTCTCTGGACTAGGCATTTGACCAGCCTGAAGAGGCACCATGGTAGAGGAGAGGGAGCTAAGGTTTGGAATCAGAAGGACTGCATTCTAGGGTAGCATTAGGACCCTCTTAAGAGCTGATGAGTCTTTTATAAGATTGTATATCCTGAGATCTATAGAATTAATAATAACCAAAACCAATATTAATAAATATTTGTACTACTATTTCACATATATAGTGTGGAAGATCTGGCAATGTCTTAGACTGACAGCACTTGAGAAGTTTCTTTAAGTAATACGATAATTGTTCTTTCTTTCCCCGTAGGTTCGACCCAAGCCTGTGGCCCAGAATAACATTCCTATTGCCCCAGCACCTCCTCCCATGCTTGCAGCTCCTCAGCTTATCCAGAGGCCCGTCATGCTGACCAAGTTCACCCCCACGACCCTCCCTACCTCCCAGAATTCCATCCACCCCGTCCGTGTCGTCAATGGGCAGACTGCAACCATAGCCAAAACGTTCCCCATGGCCCAGCTCACCAGCATTGTGATAGCTACTCCAGGGACCAGACTCGCTGGACCTCAAACTGTACAGCTTAGCAAGCCAAGCCTTGAAAAACAGGTACAGGCGGAGTATACACCTGTTTGGGGCAGTAGCTTTGCTTTTGAGACTGGGCAGTCTCTAAACACATCTTTTCAAGGGCTCTTTATTTCAGCATCATTGTGGATAACCTGTTGCTTATCGTGTGATGCTTTATCCACAATGCAAAAGGGCCAATCTTACTGAAGAAAGTTGTTTTCCCACCATCCCTTGAGATGGATTCAGATTCCTGTGTGAGTGAGCTCCCCCTGCTGGTTCTGGAGCAGAAATTCACAGATGGGTTCTGCTGCCCTTAGTCAGGAAGCACAGATGAGGCAGTAAACTGAAAATGCCGTTGTTAGTTTTGGCCCAGTAAGAATCCAGATGAGGCTATGACTATGAAAGTCAGGAAAAATAAACAAAACAAGGAAAGGGATTTCATTCAAAGATTTTCTCTGGTTATTACGGATAATGAAGAGCCAAATGAAAAAATTAAAATTTCTGAAAGCATTCTTTTAACTCTAGAGGATGTAGACATTTTAAGCCAAATATTGAAGCTTTTTCATTTATATTTCTAAAATCAGATTTTCTCTTAAAAAAAACGAGGCTAGAGAAATACAGGTAACCTCCAAAAATACCTAAGGGTTCTGTGACAGTAAGACTTCTAAAAACAAGAAAAAGGATTTATAGGCAATCCCCATATTCTATTTAAAGAAAGACCTTTGAGGAGAAAGAAGAATTTTGCAAAGAAAAGCATCCTCTTTCAAGAAACTTGCTTTAAAAAGTCATTGACCTATTTCTAATTGCTCAGGCTTGAGTTCTCCTTCATCTGAAAATAGTCTCTGGTGATCCTGAATCTTCTGCTTCTGGATGGCTGATCATGATTCAGAGAGGCTGGCCAGATGGTCGGGAATTAGAAGGCTTCCTGCTGCCTTGGCCTCCTTGAACAGAAGAACCTTGTGCATAGAGCATCCGGCTTTCTGCCTGGGCAGCTCATAAATGCAGCAGATCTTGCACTGAGGAACTGGGTACCAAAATCTTGTGCTCAGAAAACAAGAGAGAGAACACATCTCTGTTCCTTGGGGAGCCTACTCAAACCCCAGGAAATGCTTTGAGGAACATTCAGAAAGAAATTACTTACACATATTTCAGATCAGAAGTTTTCAAACTTCTTAGCAGAACTTCAACATTAAACTATTGGGGCCGGCCCCGTGGCTTAGCGGTTAAGTGCGCGCGCTCCGCTGCTGGCAGCCAGGTTCGGATCCCGGGCGCGCACCGACGCACTGCTTCTCCGGCCACGCTGAGGCCGTGTCCCACACACAGCAACTAGAGGGATGTGCAACTATGACATACAACTAACTACTGGGGCTGTGGGGGAAAAATAAATAAATAAATAAATAAATATAAATAAATAAATAAAAAATTAAAAATAAATAAATAAATAAAATAAACTATTGAAAGTAAAATGATCAAGCTTAGGAGTTTAGTTGGGGGCGTGTTGGGAGATCCTCTGCCCTCATGTCCTGTGCTGGCTCTCAGAGAACCTCTGAGTTCTTTGGAACCTTGGAGTTCCAAAGAATGTGGTTTCAAAACACTGTTTTAGATTACTAAATATTATTTCTCTTTGACCTCCTTTTTTGATAAAGACATTTTTAGGAGACAAGAATTTTTTCAGTTTCATTTTATTTTTACATTTCTTATTTTTTCTGATTACAAAGATAATACATGTTCACTGTAAAAGAAAATTCAAACATTACAGAAATGTATATTGTAGAAAGTGCATCCCCCAATAATCTATGAAGAGAGTAAACTACCCCCATAATTTTACCCGCTCCCAAAGTTGCTGTTAACACTTTAGATTATATTCCTCCACATATTTTCTCTGCCCATACTAACATTTTTAAGGCAAAAAACAAAATCAAACAGCATGTATTATTTTGTAACTTCCTTTTTTTCTTATTAGATCTTGAATATCTTTTCCTGTCCTGGCTTTACATGCTGATAGAGCTTTTAATTTTAATTATAATATAAAAAGGTACCGCTGAATTCTTAAAAATTAAAAAAATTTGTTTTCTAGCAGTAAATTCCATTGTCTCTCTTCTTGTTGATCTAATAGAGGAGTCCAGTCATTGCTGTTTTAGTTTAGCAGGCCACCTGGCGTACAGTCTCACAGGTGGGCAGGCTCGGTCAGCAGGAACTCTCTTTAGACGGGACTTCATTCTCAGAATTTTCTTACTTCCGATCTTTCTACTATCCTTCTTTTCTCTTTGATGTTTCATTTCCAGTATTCCATTTATAACCATTAAGAGATCTCGTAGATAGGCTGAGAGTGAAGCAATGTAAATATGTAGCCATGGAAGTACCACTCACAGCCTGTTCATAGAGTTATCAAACCTGTGTTCCACATTCTCTATGTGACCAGGCTGGGTGGGTTCCCATCTGCTTTCTACTGTTTCCTTTAGGGTGATAACACCCATTTAATAAAAATGTGTTGATTATGTGCCAGGTGCTGTGCTACATGTGGTGTCTACGTACAGGGAGTGAGGGCGGATAAACCGAAGCCCATACCCTCACAGAGCTCAGTCTCGAGTGCATTGGGAGCAGGTGCCAAGGCTCTGCCTCCAGAGGAGGAAGCATGACAAGCTGTGTCGTTTCGAAGGCCTCCCGCGTTGGCACAGGAAAGGGGGAAGGCAATGTCAGTTACAGCAGCGTGGTCTCACTGCTCCTTCCCTGTCAGGCATCACCAACTTCCTTATTCAGCCCAGATGGGATCCACTGTCTTTTCCCTTATTAGAAGCCACGTTACACTGTGGTTCTGAGAAAACAGGTGGTAGGGTTTAAAGAGCTTTGAGGCTAGAAATGTATTTTAGGCAGAAAAGTAGATAAAGCCGGACAAACTTATAGCCTCCATACCACCACTTTTCCATCCTTCTTCTCCCCAGCACTCTGTGAATCAGGGCTAAATGCCTGTTGATGATGGAATGCGATAAGGCGCTTAACGCCCATTAGACTATGCTTGATGCAGTTAGTTCTCAGGAATTAGGTTCATTTCTTATCCACCCCACCCCCTGCAACAAAGCCTCTTTGTACGTCTCCAAGGCTAAAGTACTGAAAAAAATCCCAGGTTCTGTGGGGAAAATCGCCAGACTGCCACCCATTCCCTACTTCCATATATATCGTGCATAGGAACATATATAAAATCCTCTAAAAAAGGAGTACTTCCGAGATGAGAGTATTATCCAATGTATTATCCTCAAATTCCTGTCTTCCCTCTTAGTAAACCTGAGCTGGTGGCTCTTCTCCCTCCATTTCGGTACAGGTGCTAGAGTAGGGAAAATAGATCCAAGTGACCAAGCGAGGGATTTTGCTTTGCCTTCAATCCAAATTTATATGACCTTAATTGATGAAACTGTTTGGACATTTATTTATGTGATTATTCATGCAGCCAGGTATCAGAAGGTGTTTTGGAGTTCAGGGTATAAATGGTTAACTTAGTTCTAGTCTTGTCTGAAATTTTTGATTTCTATCTTCATAGTACCTTTGAACAGGATTTGCAAATTCAAATAGCCATGGGTGCAAAGCAGGAAATATAAATGAGTAAAGCAGGCTGGGAGTAAACAAGTGGACTTTATTTTTCCACTTTCAGTGTGAACATGAGTACAAAAAATATCCCACTTTTATTCTTAATTCCTCTTTGAAATAGTAAGACAAGCGTGATAAAATTGACAGATTGGCCTTTGTGGAAAGTGGGAGAGACCATGGTCAACTGCATAGTCGTAGTATACTCCATCTCAAGCAAGCGGCCACTTCTTGACAGTAGCCAGTTTTTATCATATGGAAACTTTTTCAAGAAAAGCCACATATTCTAAGAAATCACCTAGTTTTTAAAATACTTGTAACTGTTTGAACACCATGTAGGCAAAAAATAACATCTGAAAGGCAGCTTCACCTCTGGATGATGGTTTATAATCTCTGCTAGAGAGCAAACTTTTAGCTTAATCCTTTTTCTTGTTTGTTTCCCAACCTAATTTTTTTTAATTGAGGTGAAATTCACATCACATAAAATTAACCATGTTGAAAATAAACAATTCAGTAGCGTTTAGTACATTCACAGTGTTGTGTAACCACCACCTCTATCTAGTTCCAAAACGTTTTCATTATCCCAAAATAAAACCCAGTACCCATTAAGTAGTTACTCATTTGCTCCTCCCCCTTCTTCTGGCAATCACCAATCTGCTTTCTGTCTCTATAGATTTACCTATTCTGGATATTTCATATAGATGGAATCATACAATATGTGACCTTTTGTGCTGGCTTCTTTCAATTAGCATAATGTTTTCCAGATTCATCCACATTGTAATATCTATCAGTACTTCATTCCTTTTTAATAGTTGAATAATATTCCATTGTGTGTCTATATCATAATTTGTCCATTCATCCATTGATGGACATTTGAGTTGTTTCCACCTTTTGGCTATTGAGAATAATGCGGATATGAATATTCATGCACAAGTATTTGTTTGAGTACAGTAAAATCCCCTTATCCATGGTTTCACTTTTCGCCATTTCAGTAACCCGGTGTCAACTGTGGTCTGAAAATATTAAATGAAAAATTCCAGAAATAAACAATAAGTTTTAAATTGCGTGCCATTCCGAGTAAATGGACAAAATCTCACGTCATCCTACTCCATCCCGCCTAGGTCTTGAATCATCCCTTTGTCCAGCATATCCACACTGTATCTGCCACCCGCCTGTTACTCACTTAGTAGCAGTCTCAGTTATCAGATCGACTGTAGGGTATTACAGTACTTGTGTTCAGGTCACCCGTATTTTACTTAAATAACGTCCTCAAAGCACAAGAGCAGTGATGTGGGCAATTTGGATATGCCAAAGAGAAGCCGTAAAGTGCTTCTTTTAAGTGAAAAGGTGAAAGTGCTCGACTTAATCGGAAAAGAAAAAGAATCGTATGCTGGGGTTGCTAAGATCTATGGTAACTTTTATTACAGTATATTGTTATAATTGTTCTATTTTATTATTAGTTC